GAACTGTGGACTCAGCAGCTGTTTTTAAAAAACAACTCAAACTCTTTTAAAACTGCTTTTGGTTCATTTTTTGCCGGTTTTATTTTCTCTTTTTAAATCTTTTTATGACTTGTAATCTTATGTGCAGCACTTTGTGATTCTGTCCTGAAAGGATAAATAAAAATTTTATTTATTTTATTTATTCATCTGCTGCCACAAATAAATAAATTTCCTTTTTTCTATTAGAGCGTCTGTTCGGGCTTTTAGTGTAACACAGATTGTCACATTTCAGTGTTTCTGCTGTTCATTCATTGATAAACAATAGAAATGTTTTCATACACTTTATCAGGCACATCTTATACCCGCTGGACCTGCTTTGAGTCTTCACGACAGCTCTCTGTAAACCCTAGAAGTCCGAGTAGTTTCTGAAGCACCAGCCTCTCTGCCTCCAACAGACAGACACCCTTTCCACCCAGATTGAACCTTTGTACATGTTTTCATGCCTAAATGCTTCAGGTCACTAACATGCAACTAGCTGGTGAGATATGTGTTAACTAGCAGTTCAGCTGGTTAACGCAGGTGGTCAGCGAGTGCATAAGAACTTCCTGTCTTCTGCAGATGAGAACGAGTGTCAGGGAGCGTCAGTGTGCGGCTCCGCCTCCTGCTACAACACGCTGGGCAGCTACAAGTGCGTGTGTCCCTCTGGCTTTGACTTTGATCAGGGTGTCGGTGGCTGCCAGGACGTGAACGAGTGCACCACGTCCACTAACCCCTGCATCTATGGCTGCTCCAACACTGACGGAGGCTACCTGTGTGGCTGTCCTGGAGGTTTCTACAGAGCAGGGCAGGGGTGAGGGGCGCACACTTCACCAAAACATTTTTCCTGACGCTGATGAAACGAGATGAACTTTGCTGATGTGCTTGTCTCCACAGTCACTGCATCACCGGCTCAGGTTTCCCGGGCCAGTACGTCGAGGGTGAGGATGAAGACGGCCTGTCTCCTGAGGCCTGCTACGAATGTAAGATCAACGGAGGAAAGAACGGACGACAGAAGCGCGACGCTGATGAGAACGAGCTCAGTCAGGTATATTTGTTAGCTCCTTCTGGTTTCAGGTTGACCTTTCTTAGATTATGAGAGCTGACGGATCCTCTGCATCCTCGCCCCCCCTGCAGGAAGCAGCAGTCAGCATGGCCAGCGTGGACACGCAGGCCTCCATCCCTGTTAACGTCTCTCTGGCCTCCTTGCTCAACAAGGAGCCTCTGCTCGAGCTCCTGCCCGCCCTGCAGCCCCTGGAGCACCACGTCCGTTACGTCATAACCCACGGCAACGCCGACGAACATTTCCGCCTGCTGGAACGCCGCGACGGAAAGAGCGTGCTCCGACTCGGCAAGAAGCCGCCTCCGCCTGGATCTTACCGGCTGGAGGTCGCCAGCCTTCGGCTGTTCGGGCCCCGAAAACTGCACCAACTAGAAAAGCAGCATGACATTGACTACCTACAAGGGGAAATAGGTGACGCCCTGCGCATCAAGCTGCACATCCACCTGCACTGAGCTCAGAGCGCCATCCTGCTCTGGACTCATCTCTGAAGCGTTTAACCTTTTATCCAGTAACTCCTACACAGAGCCCCCTGCAGGACCCGACGGGGAAGTCGAGGGCTACGAAAGACTGAGTCAGCTCTACCACCACCTAGTTAATGTTCAAATTATTCTGTGTTCTTGTTTTGTGTTTTTGTTCTTTTCTCCTCCACTCCTACCGACCCAGCGCTCGTTCTCCACCCGGAGGAGACGCAGAGAGGTGTCTTTGTGCTTGGACCACGGCCGCCTCCACCCGAACGAGACAAACGCAGACAGGAGACTCACGAGTCCATGAAGCACTTTTGTAGATGAGACACAAACAACAAAGCTTTAATTATTAGTGAAGTGCTGAGAACTGTCGTTAGACGAGTCTTTAAATCACAGGCAGCATCTACAGACGTCATCGTGTTTGGTGGTGTCGAGAAAGGTTGCAGATAAGCGTGCCACGATGGTCTAAGAACAAGCGCACTTCTCTGTGATCTCGGGCTCCTCACGTATCCTAGTAAGTCGTTTATTGTATTTGTGCTGTTCAGAAACACAAAGGATGCAGCGTTCGCTCTGTTTGATCTCCAACGAGTCTTTTTAGAAAACAGCAACTTCTCCTCTCGTGTGCCTGATGTTTGCGCGTGTGTGTCGTCACGTTCGGTTACCTCAGTACTTCTCCACACCGCGCTGTGATGCTAACTTTAAAACAAAAGAGGGTGCTAACGTCCCTCAGCGTCCACCGTGAGCAGGGAAGCAGCAGCTCGGAGACTTTAAGACAGATCAGGTCAGATCAGGTATTTAAGCTTTCACTGATTCAGGACCTGTGAGCCTTCATGTAACCAACAGTCTTCCTGCCGGTGTCGGCTGTCGCAGCTTCTTTACTACAGTCACACATTTAATGACATTAAGCTGACTTTATCTGCCTCGTTTGGCTTTACCGTGAGCTCGTGTCTGAGCCGTATTTACATGCACTGCAGCCCTGAGGTCACTTGAACTCGAGAGCATCTGTTGAATTCACCAAACGGACGTCGCTCTCGCCTTCGTGCACGCTCTGCACCGTCCAAAGCAAACGGAGCATCTCCAGAAGCCAGAACATCTCCTGCCGTGTGGGACGTCGTACCAACCCCGTCCTCCCGACGCTTCCCAGAATTCATGTGTGCAAACAGCTGAAGGGACATGTGGATGCAGTAGCCTCAAAGGTACACGACATGTTAAGCTGTAACTAACAGCAGTGCTTTACAGAGTCAGGGCTCACACATTAGAACGCAAAACCTCACAAAAACAAGAATATGCTTCAGGTCATTCATCCTTCGTCATGATTTTTTTCCTCCTGAGGGGAAAAAGGTGCTACATGATACCAAACGCTGTTTGTTTTACCAGGTTTTATTGTCTCCGTCTTTTGTCTCAGTGCTGATAAACCAATATTATTATTATTAAACTTGCTTCTTGAAGATTTAATTGTATATTTTTAAGTGAAATGTAGATTTTTTTAAATGTCACAGCTGCCAGACCAAATACTCAGATTGACCAGAAGCGAGCGCTTGGTCGTCACTGACTGACGCGTTAAGGCTGCTGCAGTCAGATCAGGAGCTCTTATCACAACAAGTAGGGAAGCTTACACTGTGTGTACAACGATCGAGGCCAACACGCCACCGTGCTCGGACCTGTGGTGCTAAACGCTAATCCTGCTCTTTGAACACTTGAGGCATTTCATCGAAGACGCCGTTTATAACACATAACCACGTGCTAACCTGGGAACCTTTGTATACTTTGTATCTTTATTCTCATTTTGTATTTTGTTGTTTTTAAACTTGCCACTATGTTTGTGAAAGGGCACCGTGTTGCCTGTGCTTACTGTATCTCAGCGTCAGACTTGAATATCGTCATCATCGTCGAGGTATCCTGTGCTTAACCAAAGCAGCCTTTGTCACAGCTGTTGATCCCAGAGTTTAACTGAAAGCTGATATGACAATCATCCAGTCACGCAGCATCTACAAGATGAGGATCACGCAATAAAGCGGCCATCGCGGGACATCCTGTGACATCATCTCTGAAAACCAAAGATTTATGACGCCAAACGGCAGGCTGTAAAACTTAGAGTCCTTCCTATAATATTGTAAACCTTTGTCCACTGACATAAATGGCAATAAAGTATTGTGGGTTATATTTTTAAGTTGTGTATTCTTGGTGCTGTGTCTTTGTGGAGAACGCATATGATAGAGCGCTAAAAGAGGAACTGAGGCATGAGGAGGTGAGACAGGTGGCTGAACTAACATCAGTGACCTGCTCTGACCCCCGTGGTTATGATGGCGACGGACAGGCTGACAGATGAAGTCAGGGAGGAGTCTCCGTGGACTGGGATCTGTAGCGAGATCAGGCGGAGGAGAGCCAGGAGAGGTGGGGGGGTGAAAGCATGTGTGTAACAATGGAGATGGAAGCAGGAGGAGTTCAAATACCTGGAGGTCAGCTATCCGCAGGGTTTTAATAGTTTAGCAATTTTTATTAGTTTTTATTTTTATTTAGTTTTGACTTCAGATTTTTAATTTTATATCAGTTTTAACTAGTTTTTACCAATTGTTTGC